AACATTCTTTGTACATTTTTGTGAAATTTATCAGCCGTTGATTTTTGAACAATTAAACAGTATCTGTAAACTGCTTGTGATGTAGCTTTCTGTTAGACTATCTCGTATAAAAGAGCAAAGCTAAAAACCAACGCTTAGCCCATTGAACGTCATTATGTGCTACAACAAGAGGAGATAATTTTAACGCTTCACGCACTAAGATTTTCTTTCTACCAAACGTTTATCGACCATTAGCAATGAGAATCATTTTCAGAAAAGAATATAATGACGAGAATGACAATGACGCGAACCCCAAATAGTCATTAAAATAATTCATACGTTTGTACATGAATTGCATTTGATAATTTTCTGTCTCTAATATTTATAAGCCCCTAGAATAATTCATCATTAAAGGATAAGGTAACAAACTAGTGTCCACAATAATATATAATATTCAAAGATGTTACAAGTGCATTGATTTTAAAACAAACAGGGCATTTAATGAAAAGTGACTCTCTGATTTTGAGCTTATATGAAAGTATGTACTTGGCGCGACAGCACGCGAACGGGCTCAGGCGTTCCGGCGACGTCCCTGCCTCGCGGCCGTGGGTCAAGGGGGCGTGTGGTTAGCACGTAGACATCTCCACTCCTTATTCCGGACTTCTCAACCCGAGAAATGAATTTTCTCATCGTCACACAGCAACGTTTACTGGGATATTGCAAGGAAAACGCACACTATAATCTTGCCTCACCGGCAATCGAACCCGGAGCCGCGTAATGGAAAGCGAGCTCGCTGGCCAACAGCTAGCCACGAGGCTCAAGTTCCAGCTTATGTCCCACAATCTGTTGAATTGTTTCTCCTCAGAGAATAATACAAGGCACGCAGTGTTTACTATACACCAATGTTAAATCTCAGTATTGTTGTTTCCTTGTTGCAATTACTAAATAATATAAAATTAAATTACGAGATATATGAACGTTCCTAAATGCTGATGTTTCTTACAAACTAGCTTCATAACTGTTTTGTAACTTTCTACATTATAAAATAAGTTCGGGCCCTTATTATGTACTGGATAATTCTCTAACGATTTTATAAAAACGAAACTTAATGGAAAGGAATACCATTACGAAAAGAGGTCTTAAAATAAGCGTGAAGTACACTTACTTGAAACACGATTTGCACCTACAATAAATGCATCAATCCTAGGGAAAACAAGTGTAATAACACGGAAATATAATTATAATAAAGTCATACACTTTTTTATTTTCAGTATTTTTGCTACACAAATTCTGCACTGAATTAGGTATGCATGCAATTGTAATGAAGCAACTTTAAAAACACCCTCTATTTGTGAGCTTGTGAAAGCTTTCAGGATTTGTTTCGTCAACGGGTACACTGCCATTTGTTCCCCCGTAAATCTTAAGCGCAATAGCAGTTGTGAAAAATCCGAATTCTCTTCTTTTCTTTCTTTAATTACTCGCTCTACTGTTCTTGCCCGCAGGGCACCTTTTGAAGCAGATGGAATTTTAAAGTACGCGGCGGCTGGAAAAGTCATTTAAAAAGGTCTACAGGCTCCGACAAAAACGTAGCAATTCACTAATTTCTGATGTTTCGTGGAAAGTTCACGTTCCGTTATGAGAGATCTTCTTAAAAAGTCTAGGACGATCTCGTCATATTGGGTTGTATCAGAAGTAATCTGAAGGTAAATATGTATTGATTTATCTTCGGCCAGTGGCAACTAGTATATTGTTCTCTCGTCGAAGTCATAAGCGTTCGCCCTTACTGACTTTTATGGGACATCATATTGGACGATTTACGATGGCCATGATCTGGAAAAATTTCTAACATTTTTTTAGTTGTTCCTGGTAACGATGAGAGTAAATGCTTACGTTAAAGGGAAATGTTAGATGCCTGTTTTGAGCATGGATGTGTAGCCTTTCCTTTCCTGTTGTTTAGCTCAATCTATAAAACGAGAATCCTGAAAGTTTGTAAATATCTTGTATTGTTAGAGCGAAATCTTTTGGTGTGTTAGCCTTAGCGGCCTGCGCCAGTTTTAAAATGTCATTATGAAAGAATTTCTTCGTTTCACTTATTAGGGACATTGTATCTTAGTAGTAATAAACTGCGGTCAAACCTACAACAACGAGCTCTACAAAGAACATAAAAGAGATATACAATATTGTATTTAAAAGTTAAAGAAATATAAAGATCTTCTCATGAGTAACGAAATTATGTACCTTTGTAAGTTCTGAGTACACCATCATAGATTGTAATTTCGTACGTATTAATTATGTGTTAACTACTTTAAAATACAATAATTTTCTAGTAAAACATTGGTGCAGTAATCTTGACGTTCTGCAATGTAAGCATAATATTATTTCAAATAAAGAGGTTTTTACAGCTTTCATTGGTTTACAGGGTATAGGATTAAGAAACATTGCGTTAGTGACACAAAAAGGGCTATAATGAACTCTGATGCATAGTAGTGTATAAAACAACTAGAGCTATTCATACATCATGCCTTCCACAGCCATACCTCACGTTTTGTGGTTAGTATTGCTCAAAATACATTCAAGTAAAATTCACAACAGAGTAACTCAGTGGCCACAACAAGAAATAAACTATCGAGTGCCCTGACTTACCCACCACAAAATGAAACTAGGAGTTGAAATGAATGCAAACAACATAAATTTCTCTTTTGAAATTTAACACGGTAGATGAGCTACACGACTTTTTGTTATGTTTTTTACGCAAATTTGCATCAATATAATTCACTAGAGACAACTATCCGCTGTCTATTAGGATTTATTGCGATTTAACAAAATAAAAGCGTTCAGAAATTAGAGCTTTTTTGTCGCCGGCTGCGGGGTGAAGAAATAATTGTATTTTCCATTGCAACAGTCTGTGAATCGTAGACGGCTCTGACAATCGTCGCTGTTTGCGTGATGAGCGTGCGTAAGTGAAGAATGTAAAATAACTCATTACAATTAATTAGCAAGTATTTCCAACTAAAAATAAGTGGCAGGGCGTTTTTTTTGCTTGAAATCCACAATGATTATTAAAGTTGGTTGCAGATGTTCTGTAATGATCAAACTGCTCTACGAACTAAAACGCGTGCGCTACGGAGTGCCTGGTCTCTAGAGAATTCTGCCTTGAACTTGCAAGGTGCCCGAGGAATTAGCGAGGCCGCGCTTCCAGCTCTAGCCTCGTGGCGCCTTGCTCGGGGTGTCCTTGTAGACGCAGAGGGGCCGGCTGAGAAGAGCAGTCGGAGGAGCCTGGGAGAGGACGGGAGAGGACGGCGGAGGGCGAGAGGAGGACGACGACGCCGCCGCCGCCGCCGCTCCGACAATCGATAGGGCGGAAGATCCAACGCGGCAGCCGGGATAATTAAATGAGAGAGAGGCTGCTTAAATGAAGTTACTGAAGATGGGCATCGTAACCTTTAAAATACGCATTTCATTCCGCTCTCGGCAAAAGCAATACGGCGCTGCGGAAAGCCACTTAAGCGGGGGTCCACGGTTGTGGTGATGCAGTGAGGCAGAGGGGGCGGGCGGTTACCTCTCGGGGTGCTGTTCTCTGCCATTGCACCTCCTTGACCACTTGGGGCGGTTAAATGGCTTCGGGAAACCTTTATACAACGTGACATTCAGAATGGTACTACGTGGTCTCTCCAATTATTTTGTAAACGGTCCCTGGTCTCGGCGTCGCACAGAAAATTTCTTCACGTAGGTCTGTGATCAACAAGCCATTGAAAGCACGAGTATATACGCCACATCCATCTGCTTTACATAGATCCCCAGAGCAAGGAGTCATACAAGAAGAAACGTATATAAACGCATAATATAAAAGAGAAAATAATGCAACAATGATCATTGCTAGTACGCTTAACAGGTTACTACTATCACGACATCTGTTTGCCTGATCAATTTATCGCAATTTCTCTAAAACCGCCACCGGAACTAGTGCTAATTATAATGACATGAATGAATTTTCCAAAACAATCATAATAATCTCCTAACAACATGTTACACACAAAAGCTTAAAAATAAAGCATGTCATTTGCTTTGAAGAGAAAAAGAAATTAACGAAATTCTGTACGTTTAGTGGTAATTGTTCTCGTGAAATAGCACCTACAAATCTACCAGTAATTTAAACGCGTAAACTAGGGGAAATGAAAACATTACACAAAATATGTATTACCAACATGTTAATTACTATGTAAGTAATAATAAATTAAATAAAAATAATAAATAAAATAAAACAAATTAAAAATTTCAATTGTTCACTTTACAAATGAATTCTAGCTTTTGAAATTGTTTAGTAAAAATACTATTTTGTCTATGCATTACATTTAATAATTTTATTAGTTTAGTATGCAGAATAAATAAGTCCCTACTTTTCCCTTTATTTTCCCTAATTTACCTACTTTTCAGGGCAGGACTTTTAAAGATCGCACATTTGAGTAAACTGCGGATGTTTTAATAAATATATGAAATTTGGTGAAATGTACCTGAAGCAAAAATCCACCGAGGATATAAAAATAAACTATTTTATGATGGTACTTCTTTCCATAGCGTTAACCCTGTTTTGAAAAATTAAATGGATAGATATGAATTTTATGGAAATACATTTACATGCAAACAAGGAATAAAAAGAGAAAATGGTAATAGTTGACAGAAGCACACAGACATACCACCACGCCAACAATTTATCGCTTTACAAAATAAGTTTCAAGCGGATATAAAAAACGACCTTTGGAAACAAATTTCATTCAGAAAGCTGCATTGGTTTAGTAGTTAAAACGCTATATATGAAAGGAGAAGCCAAAGAAAAAGATGAAATGCATCATAATCAAATTTTGCAATTGAAGTAGCAAAATCAGAATAATATTACTTTTACTCAAAGACGATATATATTCTATACTTTTTGTGTGAGCTACCTTGACTGGAAAGAGTAAAAAAATAAATAAATAAATGAAAAAAAGAGTAAAAACGTAATAAATAAGGGGGCTGAGACTGACCTTCTTGAGCACACTCAGGTTGACGTGCAGCGCCAGCTCCGTCTTGAGCTTGTCCGGGAGCAGGCCCAGCGCCGTGTTGATGTCTCCGCCGCCCTGGATGCGCCCCCTGCCAACGAGGCACCACAACTACAAATAGTGCTAACACTTCCATGCTGTTCGCGATTGCACTTTGATTAATTAATGTTTTTTTTCTCTGAAATTAATAAATTTAGGGTTAATAATATATAGGAATTAATAAACATAGGGTTAATTAACAAGAGTTAGGCCATCCCACTGCTCTCTTTTTGAATATGGATAGGTTAATAATACTAGATGAAATGTGAACGATTTACAAATTAAATTTGAAAAAAAAGTTAAAATGTGGATTGATTGATAAGCGATTCCGGCCGCGTCAAATAAGGTTATTAGATCCGTAAATGAAGTTTATGATTGTATCGCGATAAAGAGAAGATGGCGGTGATCTTCCGCTGCGGGATGGCAAGGTACAGCGCCGACCTATGCGTCAATTTGCGAGATTTTCCCCAACCAGGCATCTCCCCTAGCGGGGCAGCGCCCCTACCGGGACAAGCTCTGAGCTTCCACTCCGTCTCCCGGCATGTGTGGTAGAGTATTGCATGTTAGTGTGTGTGTAAGTGGTGAGGATAGGACAAGAAAGAAGATGGAATGATCGCGCGCGGGTCTTAGCCCGTTTGTTAGGGTGCTGCTCCGACGTTCGCCTGGCGTTGATGGGAAAAAACACGAGACACTACAAATCAGAGCGACATGTCGCTAGAATTCGGACATCGGCCGAATTCGACCTAGCTACCGAGCTAGAACCGAATATCCTACCACCGTCGGGACTTGATCCCTAGGTCCTCTCCGGTCAGAGACACTGCAGTGACATCAGTTGACGCCCTAAACCACCTAATCCAATTAAAATGTGGAGTTCGCTTCGCTGTATACATTGTATGTGTTTTTCCGATTGCCCATGAACTGGTTTTAATGATTTACTGACAGTAAGCTTGCTCACTAGAATTTGACTTATTTGTGTTCATTTATTTAATGGAAAGACAATTTTTTGAGAACTTATGTATATTGAACATATGCGTCGGTTCTCTGACATTCTCCAAAATTCTTAAGTCGCCAGAACAGCAACGGGTGGGAATGAAGTATAGGCAACCTGTAATACGCAAAAGTCAAGGTGGTTGCCTAAACTAGCCCCGTCACCAAGTTTTTCCGATGTGCTAAAGAACATTGTCTAGTCGAATCCGCGTAAGCAATACGAATATTATGTATAAGGGCGAATTTTAAATTAGAGATTGGATGGGGAAATCAACACAGAAGAAGAAAAAAAGTTATTTTATAATTGATAGAAGTTTTATCGACATTTTTAATGTAAAGCTACGCGCGCACTGGATTGGTACGACACGGACGGACGGTAGGTTTTGTGTGAGCCGCGCGGCGCACCAGGACGGGACGGCACGGACACTTCAGACACTTTTGAGCACTCAGTATCGTGTCTTGTATTGTGCGCGACGGCTTCATTATTTAAGTAAAGAAGCAATCGCATTGGATTGATTTTTAAAAGCAGATGGGGGAAATTAGGCAAGGAGTCGAATAAAGTTTAAATTCTCTTCTCTTTTAAACACAACGATAATTGCAAAAGAGAAATTTCACGTATTGCATTCCGAACTGGTGGAAGATGAAAAAATAGTTCAGTTCTTCAGGAGGTCTCACGATAAATTTGAAGCTGAATTGGATATTTGGAAAAATATAAGATACAAATAAATATGTTTGTAACACAATTAAATTTCGTTAAGGGACGGACTCATTATTCCATTACTTTATTTAGAAACTTACGAAAATAATCGGCTCTATAATATACGAAAGACACATAAAACATTACATTGATTAATAAACTAATAAATCATTCCAAAACATGACATATTTATTCACCGTCACAAATGAATCAAGTTTCCCTAACACTGCTAAGCTTCTTAAAACTACCTACAAATTTAAATTTCGCAAATGCTACTTCCTGATTTATATATTATAGCTAGCCAATTAAATTACACCTCCTAACAAGGTAATACATTAAATAAAACTGAATATCACGCTGTACATCTCTAGATAATTCTGATTCTAAATAAAATGGACGCATTCGTGATCGCTTCACACGCTCACATAACCTCACAAGTGAAACGACACATCCGACCATGCCGATGACGTCATCGGCACTTCAGAATGTCCAGACGATCTTTTCTTCGGACTTTTTACAAATGACGGAAGGTGCGGACCGTTTTGGAAATCAATGTAATCAACTTTTGAAAAATCTCGTCCGTCCCGTCTGTCTATGCCGTACCGACCCAGTGCTTAGGCTTAAAGCAAACGCTAGAGAAAAGATTAGTAAGAATAAAGTGACTCATCTTGTGTTTATTGTCATGGAAAAAATCTAATCGTACTCCCATTAGGAAGGTTCTTTCGAATTCTGTAAAATATTGGTATCAGCGCCGAATATATAGATGCAGAAAATGTTTGTTATGTGAATTAAGAAACAAGCGTAAAAATGGGTAATGAATTTGAGGTCATTTGAAACAACATAAGGTTAGGGGCTGAGAAAAGGCTGTTATTTATCACCTACTTTGTTTGAGATTTACCTACATGAAATTTTTAAAAAAAAATAGCAAAATAAATATTGAGAAATGGAAATGTACTACATTGATAAAAAATGCCTTCATGGATTATTATTTGCCGACGACCAGATGATATTGCGCAATGATGAGTGGGCATGGGAAATGTGACTCTAAAGCTTAATGAAACACACAAAAAGCAGAATTAAATATAAGCAGATATAAATTTCCGCAAAAAAGTGTATGGCATTGGGAGTGAATAAGAGGAATAATATACAAGTTAATGGAGATAATATAGAATCAAGTCATGGATTTAAATATTTTGAAATAATTGTATTCGAATAAATGAGTTCCAGAAAATATTTTGAAGATTACACAAAGACGAGAATCAATTAGGAAGTAAAACTAGCTGCTCTAGGGAAAATAAATATCTAGATATGTCAAAAAACGTTTTGACACTATTATACATAGTACAGCGCTATATGGCTTAGAAAGGAAACTGGGAAAAATAGAGACAAAACATTCAGGCTACAACAAATTTTTAAGCAGTTTTTGATCACAATAAATAATGAAATTATGAAGCGAATGCAGGAACAAAAATTAATTGAAGATAAAATGGAAAAACGAAAACTAAAATGATTTGTCTAGTCAAAAGGCTCGATAATGAGAGATAACTCACAAATACAGAAATAAAAAAAAGATGTCTCAGAAAGCAATGACAAATTCAGGATTCAAAACAGACAGATATGTAGAAATTTAGAAAAGATTGGCTAGAGTGATAGTGTAGTATACAGGTTTGGATGCAAGATTCGTCCGCAAGAGCTGTAATTAATGTGAAATTAAACATTTTATTTAAACTCGTAATGGATAGAAATTATTAATGAAGTGCACATAGATTGAAGAAATGATGACAGGGAAGAAAAGGAGAATTTGAGTATGTGGTATTGAGATAATTTGTTCCATGTGTAAATCAAATATATTTGCCAATTCTTTGCTTTTATGCATTGTAGACTTTTGTTTAAGTATTAATTTTTATGTTTATTTGACACTAGGACAAAAAGTGAAATAGAAATATATTTTATTAATGGAACTACATTTCGTATCTTCGCTTTACAAATATTAGTGCAGTGTAAATTTTCTCTACCGCTCAAGTACGGATTAACATTTCTTTCCAATAATATTAAAATCTTCCAAAAGGCTTACTCCGTATCTTCTCAGGCAGATTACAAAGTGTATTCCTATTCAGTTAAAAAGAACAATGGTTTTGACGTCAACCTCTTACTTAGTTGCTCAGTTGATTGAATTATTAAAAAATCTTTTAATAGTTTTATTTTTTTTATGAGAATTCTCACATTTTCTTTGCCTGTGATTAATAACGTTCTTTTCCCTTTTACTCGCCTACCAAGGCCGCGGGCAGGTTTTTCTCTTCCTTGTAGGCGAAATCTCTCCAAACAACTCGTGTGGTCGACTGCGGAGAATTTCCTTCATGGGCTCGACCAACAATTGAGCGACAACCATTCAGCCGGCCGGCGGACACATTCCGGGCCCTCCCGGAGGGGCTCATCCTTTTAGCGCGAGCACTTGAGCGGATGGGAGCGCCCGGCCCGGGCGGGTCGAGCGTGCGGCGGCGGTTGTGGTGACGATGGAGGTGGTGGTGGTGGTGGTGGTAGTAGTAGTAGTGGCGGTGGCGGTGATGATAAATGTGGTGGTGCAGGTGGTAGTGGTGAAGTTGGTGGCGGAGGTGGTGGCTGAAGTGGTGGCGGAGGTGGCGGCGGAGGTGGTGGCGGAGTGGAGTGGTGATGGCGGTGGTGGTGGTGGGGGAGGAGGTGACACTGACGGGTGGCGGGCGGCAGCGGTGCCGGTGAGCGGTGGAGTAAGTGGTGGGGGTGGTGGGTGGGGTGGGGTGGTGGGGTGGTGGTTGGTGGGGCAGTGGCGGTGGCAGTGGTGAGTTGGGGGTGTTGGGGGTGGTGTTAGCGGTCGGTAGGGGTAATGGTGCGGTGGCGGCGATGGTGGCGGCGGGTGGGCGAGGGCGGTGGGGCGCCGGCTGGCCTGCCTCTGTCGGCGCGCCGGCCGGCCTACCCGCTCGCCGTCCTCGATGGGATTTCCCCACAGGGCTGCCGCGAAGATTAAACGACGTTCCTTGGCAATTAATTCGTCTCTTGAGAGGCAAGAGGGATGTCAAGGGATCTGCAGGCAGCTTTTTCACCTACCTCGCGCGCGTAAAACGCAAAAATTTCGGCAAAGCAGACGGATGCCTCTCGAAGAGCTTGCTGAGACCGTGGGAGGATAAAACTTACCTAAACAAACGCCTGTTTTACGTTTGTGAGCGAAGGAAATGCGAGGGGAGAAGTGAGAACACTGGAACCAAAATGTGCAAGGAATGGAGGGAAAAGAGAAGCACTATATATACTTATACTAGAGAAATCATAATTCATGTGTGTATAAATTGAAGTTATTGTACTAAAGATTGAATTTGAAAATAAACGATACATACGATTATGTATAGTGAAGATAATGTTGGTCAAAATTTTCGCGCCTCAAAACACAAAAGTTTCCTCAATTATTTACTAGATAGGGAAAGTGTGTAGTGTTTATTTTAGAACCAAACATAGTTACCAAACTGGAATTTTGTAAGTCTCCAAAAATTACATAATATCAAATCCAGTCATTTTGGACATGATATT